AAGCATTGGAAATAATTTTTTTCAAAAAGAAATACTACTTTTAAAATTGGATAAGAATATAGAACCATGGAAATTTGACCAGAGTTCAAATCCCAGTGACTATCCTGGCTGTATAGACATCTTTATGGTTTTCTATATACAGTCAAAAGTCGTGAATTCGGACACCCATAATCCGGACCTCAAAGCTTCAAACTTTCTGCGCATGCGTCGGGTTGAAGCATGTGCGTAAGGCTTTTACGGCTGAGAATATGCTTGTGCACGTGCGCAAAATACGTTTACGAGTGCGCGTTTAATGTATAATGAACGGTATAAGCTAAGCTAAAATTATTTAATTATCTCAGTTAATGTTGCAGATTGCGTTGTTCCTTAATCTTCAAATTGGATCCGGCTTATTATTTTTTGCAGACTGTTAGAGCAATTTTATAAAAGTAAGCTTGAACTTTCAATTATGTCAAATAGAATTTCTGATATATATTTATTAATATGTAAATGATCTACAAAGCGAAAGTATGTTTCGAAATGAGGGATGTTAGAGTTTGGGAACTGTGTCACTTTCACTCTGTAGCAAAAACCATAGTGCCAGTTCTGCTCCAAATCATTTTTCTGTACAAACCTTATACTAAGACATGGATAGTCATTACTCACTTCTGTTCTGTCATTCTCAAGGAAGGTGCAACAGGTTTGGAATATTATCCCAATCATTGCAGTTGTAACTATTTTGGTAGTTAGGCTGCCATTTTAACTCTTTTATGGATTTGTTCTTTATTTAATGTTACAGAATAACAATTTTGGCATCATTGAGATTTGTGGTAGTAAATAATTTTGCTAGCTGAAGAAACATTATTTACATATTTATATAACATAGGCATTTGACCCACACAGTCTTTGCTAGGCTTTCATCTGTTACATTGAGTCTTCCACTTATCTTAAGTGATGAAGTCACGCAGTCAGGTTCCTGGAGCACTTTCCTACCCTATGTTTAGCAACATAAGATGGTGTGCATATCTTTAAATTTGCCTAGCGTATCATGAAAGTCCTAATATTAAATATTACAGTCCTAAAATTAACTATTGAAGGTTGTAGATAGTAATATTGGCATGTAAATCTTGAAGCAATTATAGCGATGAACTGAAGAAGTTAAATGAGCAATTTATCGCAGATTGAATAGAAAATATAGCAATTTTGGCATTGGAATAATCATAGCTGGTGCAGGAAACAGTTAGATGATAGCTGCAACTGGATGCTGAGGAAAAAATTCATTTCGACGTCAAGTCAGTTACATCTTTGCTGTCTGGAGCATGAACCTGTGCCTTTGGTGTCATCCGTCTAACTGAGCTGGAGTGTCGTAATGGTAGTGCTAGATGGGAAGAGAAAGTGTGGTGCAAACATTTGCTGTTGGCAGGCATAAGAGGGGGCCGGGGTTCAGAGCCATACTTTTAAAGGGTTGGTCGAGTCAAAAAGGGAGGAAGGATCTTCCACTTTGATGACATGAGCTGTGTTGACTATTGTTATGATTGCGTGAATATCCTTAATACCGTAGTAATCTGAGAACAGATTCTTAGATGTGATGTTCTGCAAGTTAATGGAAAGAACTTAAGGCAAATCAATTTTGTCTCTGGGTAATTCCTTAAGTAGTGCATGGTGTCAGCTTTGGATCCTACAACGTCACAGGTGCATTTGATGTTAGATACAAGAAGCGTTTATAGTATTATGGAAAGTAATCATAGTTAGTAAAAGCCTAAACGTAAAGGTGATTGTACTTTACTCTTGGGAGTAAGGTGGCTGGGAAGATATTGTCTCTCCTGTTAACTCCTTCATTTCATCTCCTGCCAGTCTGCCGAAAAGGCTTCTTTGATAATTCTTTTGAAGACCTCTTTGGACACTGGGGCTTGTTTTGCTATGTGGTCAGCTCTCTCATTGCCTATGTGGTCCCTTACCCAATTCAAATATATTCTTTGGCATGTTTGAAGGGTTGTCAATACTTCACATGGTGTTTTCATATGGGGACAGGAGTGAACCTTACTTATTCAGCCTTTGCAAAATACTTGTACTATCTGTATGGAATGTTGTGTGATTTGCTTTGTAGGCTAATGTCCAGGGGGCTGCCTTTTTGAGAGCATACAATTCTTCTTGAAATACCTTAGCATGATCCATCAAGCAATATGTTTCATAATACACTTCTTTTTCATCTTTATAAACAACAAAACTCTTTTTTGATTTAGATCTGTCTGTGAAAATTTTGAAGTCTCCAGTTATGGTAATCTTTGTCCAAGGTGTGCCACTGAGCATGTTGGATGCGAGCACCTGTGTTTCTTGTTCTCGATACCTATTTTTGTTAGCAAGATTTGGCCATTATATTGGGCATCTTCCCTCACAGTGGAAAAGGTGATATTACATTTTCTCTATCTAAACCTTGAAGTTCAGTAGAGAGTACCCTGTTTGTATTTAAAGAGCTGCTGCTGAGGTTGTTGAGTATGTCAATGTTATCTTTAGAAGGGCTGCAGCATAGGATCTGCTGCAGCTTTTGCCAGATTGTAGCAGTGATGGTGATCCAGACTGGACAGCCATATAGTATCATTCGTTCGATGGCACCCAAATGTAACTCCTTTATCAATTAACCTTTTAAGCCCCGTTTATTGTTGACTATCCTATTTAGTTTATTTATAATACTGTTGGTTTTCTTCCGGATGTTGGTTTAGATGGGGAACCCACGTTAGCTTTTTATTACAAAGAGCCCAGATATTTCATCATGTCTTGTCATCTGAGGGGAACCCCCTGCCGTTCATTGCAAGGTGGATTCACTTCTATTTTATGTCTTTTGGGAAACATTATGAGTTAGCATTTTTTGTATGCTAAATTTAAGTTTTTACTTTTCGCTCTAGGCTGTTAGTTTTTCTAGTGCTTTTACTGCTTTCCATTCCATTATGGAGCGGTTTTACACTCATCTGTAATATAGTAAGTAGTAAACTGGCCTTCATGAAATCTCAACAGTAGCAAAGGAATTAGTTCTAGCAAATTTGGACCACATTCCAAAGACTGATTTAGAGAGCTTATTTTTTTTTCCTTGCAGACACTTCAAACACCGATCGAATTGCTGTTGAGCTATTTTCTTAATCACTGGTCTATGCAGTAAATAGTGTCTGTAGTCAACAGCTACATTTTCTGTAACTTCTTCAATCGCCCCTCAAATTACACTAGTTGTTAAAAACTGCACCATATAAAGGAAATAAATTTTGTGAAAGAAGTTTCAGGGTGGTAGATTCTAAATGCTTCAAAGCTAAATCCTTATTGGCACATGATTTTGAGGAAATTTCAAAGATATGCTGTTTTTAAATATTTTCAGCTCAATGTGGCATTAGCCCAAATGCTCTTGAAATGAGTAATGTGTCTGTAAATGAAAATAATGCTTGTTCAGGCATAATATAAAATCTGAAGGCTTTCAGATTCCCCCCCTCCCAATTGTAAAGAAAAACAGAGAAATAAAAGATAAAAAATGTGTTGAGAAATCATGTTTATCCATTATTGGTGCTGAATCGGAGTGTTTCGCAACAGTTTTTGTTTATTGAAATTGTTCAATAGGGAGATATGTAAATACCAGTTTTATTTATTTTTTTATTTCATATTGGTTTTTTTCTTTTATGAATGGTGTTAGTGTGTGTGTGTGTGCATATTATTTCTCTGTACCAGATTTCTGAGTGGGTGATGGGTGATAAAAAATAATGGTTAAAAGAATGATCACTAATTGAACTTATACAGTACAAAGTCCGTAATCCGGACTCTTCGGGGCTTCGGCGATTCCGGATTAGGGGTTTTTCCATATTATAGATCATCAATTTAAATCTGGTAAGATGGCATGCAGAAATTATGCAATTAAAAATATGAAATTATAATTTATGAAATAAAGAACAATTATGATCCAAAGGGTATCAAAATTTACAAAAAAAAGCTTAATATTTATTTGTTTACTTTATTAAACATTTCTTTCGATGTAAGTTGTTTAAAATGCTTCCACAAAAAAATTCAAAATGTTTTTTCTACTTGTGGACTTTCCAATGCCATACTTCTCACATAATTTTGAAACGGACAGGCCTTTATCCATTTTTTGCAGGAATTCCACTTTTTGTTTAATGGACATCGAAACATGCTTTCGCTTTGTAGATCCTTTGGCAGCTCCAGAATTGGAAACTCTTTGACATAATCTAAAGTTCAAGCTTAATTTTTATAAAATTGTTCTAACAGTCTGCAAAAAATAATAAGGCAGATCCAATTAGAAGGTTAAGGAACAGCGCAATCGGCAAGATTAAGTGAAATGCCTTAAATAATTTTAGCCTAGCTTATACCATCCATTATACATTAAACGTGCATGCATAGATGCATTATGCGCATGCATAAACGCATGTGCATAAAGTTTGTAGCTTTGAGGTCCGTATTATAGATCATTCCGGACTGTGGACGTCCGGATCACAGACTTTGTACTGTATTCTACTCTTCTGTTTTTAGCATATATGTTATCTCTTCCCAGAACTGAGTGAAAATTTTAAAACAAATGTTTAAGTTATATATGAATACACTAGTTCTGATTATATTTTCAGATGTTAATTTGTGAAAAAAATAAGCATAGAAATCTTCATTTCTCATTGATAATATTCAAGTGCTGTTGGCCTATTGAGATATACTTTGATAAAGGACTGTTTGAAAAGAAACAGATTTATATATTGTAAAAAGAAGGAAAATTTTTAAGCAACTGCCTTGTTCCACCACTGGGAATCAAATCTTAAATAAATAAATAAATAAACAAACATGATGATTTTAAACGCTTGACCATTCGTAAGCTTGTTGTGTTGTGAGAGGATTAATAAACAATTTCAGTGGTATTTTTATGCATTATTTATTATGGAAGTGCAGAAACATTGTATAATACTTGAAATTTAAATAATTTTGACTATGTATTTGACTATGCATTTTGAGTAATTTTTATTTATTTATTTATTTTATTTTAGCTGTAACTGGAGCTTTAAAAAATTCTGTGTGAAGTAAGAAGACAATGTGGTACACAGTTTTATGTTCATTCAAAACATAATTTGTTGTTGACCTGTTGGTCTGCAAGAACTAATGAGCAGAACAACGACCTCTGTTAGCAGGAATCATCCAAAGTCTTATGACTATCTTTTAAAATTTCTGCTAGTTGGTGATAGCGATGTGGGAAAGCAAGAAATACTTAGTGGTTTGGAAGATGGCTCACAAGAATCACCATTTTGTGGTTCATCAGGTATTTTTATAAGATTTTCTTAAATATTGTTAACAAGTAACAATGAACATTTTTTTATGTACTTTGAATTTATCTTAAAATGAATGACTAAATTTTTTAGTAAATGCAATGGAAAAGTAGACCAATAAAGGTAATGGTTCTGAGAATTATGGCCGACATAACATACTATTCACATGTAATGTTACACAATTATGCATTGAATCTTTTCACTAGCTTTTTTATTCCTTAGGAGAAGGAGATTTTTACTTCTTTGGTAATGTAAGTGTGCATCTTTATTGTTTCGTGAATTCTTAAGTTTAACATGCATTTATGTAAAGCCTTTTCAAGTGATCTTGTAATTATGTGATGCAGATCAAGACTAAGAAAATGTGTAAGATGTGAAGATTGCATTATCTTAATTCTTTGGCTGCTACATGGGAATACATATTGATAAAAGAGTACTTTCATATTATTTCATTAACCATGTAAGTTGCCAACCATTGAGCCGTGAAAATTGGCAGTGATCTTACCAAAGTTGGGGCAGTCATCCTTGCAGAATTCTGAAAAAACTGGCACCTCTTTATTTCATTAATAATCAATATTCTGCCCGCTTCATAAAAGGGCTTTCATCAATTTCTGCTACTTTGTTAGCCCCAGAAATATACAAATTTGGTGATTGATAACGTGGTGCTCTATGGTGGCATGTTAGAATTCTGGTCTGTAGCATGACTGTGAATGTGGTTTCTTAAGAGTGATCAGTTCAATAGTTATGGTTCAAAGGCATCATTTAAGTGAAGATCAAAAGTGGTGAATAATTGATAGAATTGAGGGAGGTCTAACACAAATGGAGGATGCCCAAGATCTGAATATCCATCAAAGTGTCATATGAAGAGTTTGGAACCCCTTTTTAAGGACTGGATCACTTGCTAGGCTGCCTGGTCAAAGGCGAACAAGAGCAACAACCGCATCAGAAGACTACTTTCTGTTGTTGTCGCCTCATAGAAACCACGAAACTATAAGAGGTTTGCTTTCAGATCTTCAGGGTGCCATAGGAGCTTAAATTAGCCATTCTACTGCAGCACAGAGGCTTAAAGAGGTTGAACTGTATGCGAGAAAACCAATGGTTTGCGTCCCACTCGTTTCAGGTTCTAGCGGGGCCCATTTAAAGTGGTGCTGTAATTTCAGCCAAGACGACTGGACCCAAGTATTATTTACTTACAAGTCCAGATATAGTCTGAACAGTAATTCTAGACATATTTTGATCTGGAGAGTAGAAGGAGTATGCAACTTGCCTTCCCTTGTCCATGAAATATCCCATTTCCATGGCAGCGGTTTGATGTTTTGAGAGGATCCATGAAAGATATCTGTATATCTTCCAAGGACGTTCTGTAACTGCTCTGAGATGTGTGGGCAAGGTAGTGGAACCCTAGGTTAGTCTGTTTACTGGTGCTGCTGGCCCAGTTTTTGCTAATGGAGGACAGTGCTCAGCCTCATCGAGCATAGGTAATGTCAGATTGGTTTTGAAGTCATTTCATTCCAGATATAAGAGAACAAAATAATTCCTTTCTGCATATTCTTTTAATTCTGGATAATGCACCTGGGATCTCTCCTTCTCTAGAATTCGCAGTATTTTCTATATTTCAGGATCCTGGATGCCATCGATGAAGTACTGCAAGGACAGGATTTCCCTTGTTTCTGTCAGCCATTCTGAAAAAGCGAGATGAGACAGCCTTTCAACATCCATGGCAAGTTCCTGGAGAGTGGGCTTCTGTAATGGAATTTTAATTGAAGCCTGCTTTAATCTTTTAAACACTTTTCGCCAAAGCCCAGCTCCAACGCACTTGATAGGGCTTCGAAATTTAGCATTTGGGAAGCGTATGAAGATTTTTTTGCGTATTTAGAATTTTGGGAAGCGTATGAAGCATATCTGCTGCATCTGCTTTCAGAGAAACGGCGAGATGACAGGTCTTAGCTTGGGAATACCATGCATTTGCTACCATTATAGAAAATTGTGTCTTATATACTTGTCTGGAAGTCTTCCTATCATATGTGAATAGCTTCAGACACCGACGAACAGGCATGGGTAAAAATTTAAAGCCCTCAAAATTGCTTCCTGCTGTTGCTATGCATTTCTTTAAGTTGTCAACTTCTTTGGCAACAGCAGCAGAAACTCTGTCTGTTGGATTTCAAATGAATGTAGTTTGTATTTTATATGTGCTTTAATTGATTTTGTTTTACTTATGTCATTTGGTCACTAATAATTAATGTCTGGAATAATAATAATTATCTGCTGTTTTGTTAGGACCTCTTATTTTACTGGAAGCTTTGTGTAGAATACTATGAGTACAAACGTCTTGCAGGCAAATGTTCAATCTTGTACTGTTTAGTTAGTCATATCCAGGTGTTCTTTTTCCCATATATCAGATGCTGATTCTCTCTACCTGCTGTAAATGAAACAGATTGCAGTCATAAATGTTGAAACATTTTTTTTTTTTTTCTTTTTCTTGGATGAGATGATGCCGTAACTTTGAATATAATCTACTGCTTGCTGTTCTGAAGGCAGGCCCCAAATGTTAACCCCTCAAATGCAAGGAAAAATACAGCAGTAGCACTTAATTTATATCCTTATTCATAAAAACAAAAGATACCATATAAAAAATCAATTGGGGTTACATCAAACAGAAGTACAAATGTTACGAACAATGTTATACCATTTGTGTGGTGGTGGTATGGTATTATATTTGGCTCTAAGTGTGCTGCTTGGCTACAGTTTCTTGGTTGACAGATAATTCATAAATACTATAATTTACATATCTGGCTGTCTATTTTTGCATGCCATTTTTTTATTTGCTCCCCAAATGCTCATTGATGCTTTTTTTAAATTTTTATTATTGTTTTTAGTTCCCCCCATTGATTTCATGAAATCAATTTTTCATTTTGATTTTTTTTATCATTGCATGTGTAAGAAATTATGTCTATTGTTATTAAAAACTATAGCATGATCAAGGTTGCTGTAATCTAAAAGCCTCCTGTAATTGAACTTTTGGCTTACATTCAGTCATTCAAGAGATTAGCTGTGATCTTTTTAAAACCACTTGTGTGTGCAACATGTCATATACAGATCTAACAAATATTTTCTATTTGCAAACTATAATTTTTTATATAAAAGGTTTTTGCAAAATCAAAACACTGGAACTTCAAAAATGAATTATTTGTGTAATATAATAGGGCATTTACAAAGATTTTAGGCTGAAATTTTCTGCCAACTCCTGTAAAGTTTCAAAATAACTTGTGTCAGCATTTTCTATCACATCCATCTGCACTTGCATTCATTCATAGAAACTGCAAAAAATATCATCAGTTCACAAAAGTAAGTTTGATTATAATTGCCTGTTTGATTTTATGCAGCTAGCATTTGCATCTGGATTTTTTGAGTGAAAACAGAAAAAAAAAAAAGACTTTTTTTTTTTTTTTTTTTTTTTTTTGTGTGTGTGTGTGTGTGTATGTGTATGTGTGTGTATGTGTGTGTGTGTGTGTGTGTGTGTGTATGTGTGTGTGTGTGTGTGTGTGTAATGCAACTATCATTGAGGACAATGGATTACAAGTGAAAATGTGACTGTGTATTTGCGGACTGAATCTGATCTTAAAGAGTATAATTTTAAATGCATTTCAGGAAACTGTAACAGTCAGGCTGATGAGAGTTCTAAGAGTAATCCCAAAAATCTATGAATATGCCAAAAGATACATAGCATCAAATGTATGCTTGTAAGAAGGCTCAACAGTGTGCCAATTGTTTTCCCCCTGCCTCATATTTTATTAATTCATCTCTAAAACTTTGTTGATGCACTGTGTATTTTGAAGTTAAATGCCTTTTCATATTTATTGGATAACTTTAGAATATTCGTTTGACAGTAAAAGCTGTAAAAGACTACATTTATTTACATCTAACTTAATTCTGTTATGTGAGACAACCCAAAAAGAACATGCACATGTTCTGTGAGACAACCCAAAAAGAACAAGAACATGCACATGTGATAACTAGGAATGACTTAGAGGCTGACATTAAAGTCAGGAAATTTTGCATGATATTTTATACTGAATAGCCTGAAACATGTATTGTAAATGTTTGTTGCTCAGCTCTTCTAGTAACTGGTCCTTCTGTTCGTCTTTGTAGTTACCTAGATAAGAACACAGTAAAGAAAGTTGTAGGAGTAGTTAAGAAATTTTGCTTGCGTTGTTATATAAGATAGCCTATAGCATATGCTTTTTTGTGCTTCTTTATTTATGAAATTATATATTAAATTGTATGTGAAATATGTAATTTTAAATATATTTCATTATCTATAGGAAAATTGAATTTTAAAAACTAAGAAATTTCATAAATGTTATTTCTGTATTTTGATGGTTTGTATATAGATTTTTGAGTGAGTGTATTTAATATAGCTTCTTGTTATGTGATCTCAATTTTTGTATATTAATGCTGATGATGAATTTCTGAACCTGCTGTTGTGAAAGTTTTTTTTAAATTATTCTATTTTATTTATTTATTTATTTATTTTTAGGTGTTGCGTATAAAACAACGACTATTCTCCTAGATGGAAAACGCATAAAACTTCAGTTATGGTAATAAAAGATGCATAATATAATTTTCGTTTTAATAAGAATAGTGAAATAACCATATTTTCTTTTGCATTTCTTTGAAAATCAGGAAGGGAGGATTATGTGATGTATGTAATTTTTGAAGAAAAGAATGAAAGGAAGAAATTTTTGATCTAAAAGTGCATATGAATAGCAATACTTACATTACTGCTCTCTATATTTCAAAGAAATCAATTGCAATTATTGCTTTCAGTGGTATTCTTTTTAATAATAGATCGTATTTTCCTTTTTTTTCTATACTTTACATATACATTTACATATACTTTTTACCATAGAATAAAAAGATTCTGAATCATGTTGAAAAGACAAACACGATGTGAGGGAGAAAATTATGCTGGTAAACAGTACTTTAAAATTAATAGAAAATGTGTTTTTAATTTATATTTCTGCTGCTATATAAATAAGCTTTTATATAAATAAGCAAGTGAAGAAATTATCTCTGTATGAACGAAATGAAACCATTGGAAGTCCAAGCTGCTGTAATGCATTTATTTGTAAATATGAAAAATTAATAATATGTAAAATTAAGCTCATATTCTCTTTTATACATTGTGAAATATCATTGCAGTTTTCTAAATATTTTAAAATATTATCTAGCTTTTGTAAGAAATCTTTGGGCTGGATTCTAATTTTTGTCAAAGTGTAACAAGTAATTTTCTTATGGCGGCATGAATTAAATTTAATATTTTCAAACAAGTGCATCTATATTTTTAATTGTTATAAATCTTGTAATTTGGACATGTGCTGCTGTCATTCATTATTATTTTTTAAATTATAGATTAATTTGCCCAAATTACAAGATCTATAACAATTAAAAGTGTGGTGTGCAAAACTAACTATTTGTGACATTTTTTCCTCCAATGAAGGCAAGAAAGCAGCTGAGGCTCACAAAAAAATATGTGAAGTTTATGGTGTTGATTGCTTAAAAGAATGCATATGTCATAATTGGTATGAAAAATTTCATTCTGTAGATTTTTCACTTGAAAATGACCAACATTCTGGCTTACCTTCTGAAGTTGATGACAAAATTAAAGCCATAATTGATTTGAATTGTTATATAACTGTGCAAGAGATTGCAAAAATGTTAGATATATCATACACGACAATTCAAAATCACATAAGATTTCTTGGACTTGTTAAGAAAATTGATATTTGAGTTTCGCATGAAGTGAAAGAAATTCACTGAACACAGCGAATCAATATTTGTGATACACATTTCAAACATAATGTAATTACTTTTTTTAAACAAAATATCAACTGGTGGGAAAAAATGGATCCTTTGCAGTAACATCAACCAAAAAAGATCATGGTCCCAAGCATAATGAATGAGCACAAATCATACCCAAAGCTAAATTGCATCAGAAAAAGATAATGCTGTCAGTATGATGGGATTGCAAACAACCAAAGCAACCAAAAGATCAACTCAGATGTTTACTGTCAACAGTTTATGAAATTGGAGGAAACAATTAAAGAGGAAAGCACAGAGCTGGCAAATCAAAAAGGAGTCGTGTTCCACCATGACAATGTGAGACCTTGCAGAACTTTAGCAAGACATATGAAGTTATGGAGCTTGTTTCAGACGTGGTGTCACACACCCCTTATAGCCCTCTCGTACCATTAGATTATAACCATTATTATTATATTTTATTTTCAAGTTTACAAAACTTCTTAAATGGTAAAAATTTCAGTATTAACGATGATCTCAAATTGCACTTGTTTTTTTGTTGTAAAAGACCAGAAGTTCTGTGCATGTTGAATCATGAAGTTGATGGCAAAAGGTGATCAAACAGAATGAAAGATATTTGACTGCTTAAATTTAATTTTTTTTATAGAAAAAAAATTGAATTTTTTTATTTTGCTGCAGCTCGCTTTTAAATCGCCGAGTTTGTTGATATAATATTCATTAAATTTGTACAAAATATGAAAGTTGCAATTACATATAGGCGAGTGGACTATGTGGAGGGCTATGTGTATTCAAAATTTAGTGCCTCAAACGTATAACAAATATTCTGTAGTATGAGAAAAATACGTATGTTCAGATTCTTTGTTATATAATAATCGTGATTGAGGAGAAGAATTGTATGCAGCTTTCTTCATAATTTTTAGGGAAAAATACTGAACCATATTTTACTTAAATTAGCCATAGTTATTGATTTTATTAAAGTCAATGGATTAATATTTAGGTATCTGAAAAATGTTTGTTAAAAGTAGTCTGACCACTGGCTGAGTTAAGTGTTCCACACATTGGTAATTTGAGCTGCATTTGAACCCTGATACGTACTACTTGAACAGGTTAATGCATGAACCTCTTCATAGTTTTATCTATGTATAATAGGAATACAAATCAGTTTTTCCTTAAGGTCCTCCATGAAAGTATCTCATTCCTTATGTAGAGAACACTGGCATGTTTTGTCATAATCCCCTAAACCAGTTTCAAGCTCAAATTGCAAGAGGGCCAAAAGCTTGATTTGAAAAAGCTGAGTTTCTGGAATATTTTTTAACAAACTTTAAGAATTTTTTTATTGAAAATGAAGTTAAACAAAATTTTTTTAATTTATACATGTGGGGGAAGTTGAAGATGATGTCACTCGGTAAAAAATGAGGAATCCTTTTTCTACACCACAGAACATTTAATAACGTAGAAAACTACAGATTAAATTAGGATATAACACTGGATTAGTGCTTTTTCATGCTACTTGAACACAAGGATAATTTTGCATCTCTTTATATGCTTACACAGCACTTAGCGCCTACGATTAGATCAAAGTTCCTTGCTGCCACCTTCATGTGCTATGACATCTCCTTGTAACTGCCTCGCTCTGTCTCCAGGTGCAGAGGCGATGAGGTTTTCCTGTCAGGTGATGCCCTCAGGTGGCTGCAGGTCTTACCGTTCCCACATATGTATCAAAGCATACATAAAGAATAACACAAAAGAAAAATTATAATATTTATTAGTCCAAAGGGACAATTTGCCCAGAAGGACTATTAATTTTGTTTTGGCATTTTGCGTTGATTCACTACAAGCATTGTTTCACTTTTCAGATTGTTGCCACCAAATGTTATCACCCTTTATTATATTTAAAGAAATTAAATAATGAAGAATCTGCACAAATGTATGTATGTTTTTCGCATTGTGATAAAACAATGGTACCTAGAACCATCAAATTTTGAATAATGAAATCACCCTGCGAATATAGGCATCTGGAAGCCCAAATTTGATATTTGTTTTATAGTCGAATTCATATTTTGTAAAACTTTAACGAATTTTTGATTAACAAACTCAAGGATTTCAAAGGGAGCAATGGCAATGTTGTACAGAAAAATCATTTTTATCTCTAGTGCGCGAGACTGTGTATCGGAAATTCTAAAGATATGCTCATTTTAAAATTATTTTGTGATATTGCTCGTGAACTGAATTTTATGGTTTGCGAAGAACATGATATTTAATAAATGAAAGTAACACACAAAATGTTAAAAAGAAATACCCCTTTGGATGTAATTTAAAATCTGAAACCTTTCAAATTTTTTATTTATTATTATTTTCTATCTGAATTCTAAGATTGGTACCTACAGGAAATTTTAATTAAAATGTATTACCAGCTAAAAATTGGATTTTAACAAAAGTTTCCTGCCAACAAACAGATCGTATTGGCGTGTTTAATCATATTTCGTCAAACAATTTCTGGCATTTGAAGGGGGGGCTGAAAGACTTGCTTTTTGTAAAAAAATATCGTTATTAAGTACAAGGTGTCTGAAATAGTATATCATGGTATCAGATTAGAACTATCATTTACTTCCTGTTTTGCTGCGAAAAGTCAGCTACAGAATGTTGCGAAATCATGTGTAGAGCTTTAGGTACTAATGTTGTATCATATGAAACTGTGAAGGCCAAAGTTCAAAAACAAGGACTATGCCATTCATATGGTAGAATGCTCTGGCCGTTCTGCTGATGTTGATGATATCCACCTGCAAGAACTTGTGGAAGAAGATCAGTATGCCACCACTTAAGAGTTTTCTAAGGAGTTAGACATGAGTGCCATGTCAATTAGTCTCGCTGTGCATCACATAAATGTGACATATAAGTTATATTGCTGGGTGCTTCATGAGCCGACTCAAGTAGATGAGGACAGACATGTTCGGGCTTGCACCATTCTGCTCGAATATCAATACAAGGACAAAATTCTGGATTGTATTGTCACTTCTGATGAAAAGTGGATTTGCTTTAACAACACAGGCTGAAAAGGGGGTTGGTCTGCTCCCGGTGAAAATGTCGCCAGCATCAGGAAGTGCAGTTTGACTAACAAAAAGATCGTACTGTATATCTGGTGGGATTGCCATCGTATTATCCTTAAAGAGTATTTGGAAAGAGGTAAAATCCTCATCAGTAAGGTGTACCATGGGATGCTTGTCTGTGTTATTGCTGCTGTCAAGGACAAACGTTGAACTGAGTTCCAGTGCAAAAATGTAATGTTCCATTAAGATAATGCGAGACCACATGTGTCTGCATTTACCAGTCAGATTCTGTGTGGACTCGAAGGGGATCTTTTCACGCACCCACCATATAGCCCTGAACTCGCTTCTTTGTATGGCTACCTTTTTTTACACCTGCAGCTACGTCTTGCTGGTGCTATCTTCCATTCTGCACAGAATGTGCAAAATGAGATTGATCTGTTTTTGGACTCGCGGCCATCAAGTTTCTGAGCTGAAGGCTTTGATAAATTACCAAAATGCTGGCAGAAAATCATAGATTTTGGTGGTAATTACTACCCACATTAAAGGTACTGCTTTTATATTTTTTTTTCTAACTTTATTAAAAATGATGTTTTTTGGCAGAAAACTTTCATTACGACCAGATAGAATAATTATCAACATGGGGCTTAACAAAATAAGATTAAAATAAAGTGTGTTAGTCATTTATTGAGAACCTTAGACGGTATTTTTCAAAACCATTTTATTAAAGAAGTACAAAAGTTTTTATTAAGAAAGAATTTTTTTTATTTATTTCAGTATATTTAAATTGTTTTTATATTCTACTTGAATGCCTACATTTGTAATTTGAATAAATTTTGCATTTTATTTTGCCTCTTTACTGGTTCTTGCCAAAGTAACAATATGTATTAACATTATTTTTTTATAAAAATTATTATCATGCCTATTATTATTTCTAGGGAGTCATCTGGCCAGGGCAGATTTTCTACTATCATCAGATCATATTCCAGAGGGGCGCAGGTAATTAATTTTGTTTTAAATTTAGGATTCATTGTATTTCTTAGCAAACTGGATAAAAAAGTACAATTAAAATAAGAGCAGATAATATATTTTTGTGTTGCTCAAGCCAAGTAGTGGTTTCACCAGATGGCAGATAATTTATGCTGCACTTGATTCCTGGTGATTGAATAGATTTATCATGTAATATTTTTGTAGCTTTTTACATATAATTTGAATATTAATGCATCTTCCTGAGCCAAATATTTTATAAAGGCACGCTTGTAATGTAAATTAGCCATTAAATACTTTCCATCAAAGGACAAATCCATACTCCATTCAAAGGACAAATCTTGAGGTAACGGTTCATCCCAATCTGTTTGTGATGACCAAATCTTCTGTATTAATCACTTTATTCTAACAGTGAAAGGTCCCAAAATTCCAATCAGATCGAATATCCGACCCAACTCTTATAGAAGAAATCGTTTTGTTTCTATTGGTTTAAATCTGAAAGGGTTTCAAACATCAAAATACAGTAAGTCCTTTGAATTATCCCATGCCATACCTAAGACCTTAAAAGAGAAACTTTCTCTATTAAAAGCTTCAGGATTTTCATCTGGAACGATACCGTGTTTTACCCACAATTCATGTAGTTGAGTTACTATGCCATTGGTGAAGCTGCATGGTTGCTTCCTTAAGTATTTGGACCGTTTCTAGACTCGTAGTTAATGCTTCATTGATCGTTAGTTGGCTTTGATTGATTTAAGTAGTTAAGCTGCATTGATCATTAGTTGAACAATCACATCATCCACATATATGTTCTCATTCAAAAAGTGAACCGTTGTAGGATAAAGTTTATTATATTTTTTCAGATGATCTTCAATGGTAGTGGTTAATAGAAATGGACTACTATTTATTCCGAATAAAACTCCAGTGAACCTATATATGTCAGGAGAAAGGGTTTCATCATTAGGGAATTCAGAGAACAGAAACCTGGTTGCATCCCCATCCTTTTCATATATGAGAATCTGTAAAAAGACTTGTTTTATATCTACGGTGAAAGCTATTGGATTATACCGAAATCTTAACAATATTTAGAATATTTCAGGGTATGAATTTGGCCCAACATGTAGACAGTCATTTAAAGAAATGGATCTTAGGGCATGCAATGATGCATCATAAAACAATACGTAATTTACTTTGTAACTTGATCCTCGCATATAACTTCCTTAAGTGGTAAGTAAAACACGACATCCTCTTCATTTGAAATTTCTATAACTGGTTCTGTAATCTCTTAATACTTTCCTGTATACGGAAAATAGATTAGGATTTTTTTAAAATCATTTTCGAAGTCGATTAAATCTTTGTTTCGCGATTTCCATATTATTATTTAGATTTGATGTGTCAATTTTCCAAGGCAATCTGACTTTGTAGCAAGAATTTTCATATGTTATATTTTATTTGAAATATTCGACGAATTCATTTTCAGTTGAATCGAAGTTTTCACTCTTATCAATAAGTCCCGAGTTTTCCAAGTCCTAAAATTTTGTTATTTGTCTGGAAATCAAATCTTCCCCTACAACTACATTGAAAGCTAAAGGGACATCATCATCACCTTTTTGTCCATGTAGGCACCAGCCGAAAATAGTTTCCACTGCAACAAGGTGTTTGTTTAAGTATTTAATGTGTCCCATTACTGTGTTGTAATAATAACCTGCTCCTGTTAGAATTGCAATAGGTTTTTACAATCGGGAAAATCTGCGAGTATCAAATTTTTTAATTGTCTGATTTGCTTAATTTCTTCTGATTTAGGAGGAGGAATATCTGTACCTGATATATGATCAGGTAGTAATAATTCAATTTCTATTCTAGAATCAGGAGAACTTCTGTGTTCTAAATTTAACTATGTCATAAATTTTTTGAACGGGTGAGGTATTCCCAAAAGTGCAGACAGCTTATTTTTCTTTTCTTATGACTTCGAGTTTTAATCTGTTCGCTAACTCGCGAGCACAAAAACTTTTCATGCTTCCTTTATCCAAGAGAAGTCTGGCAAACACCTCTTCCTTAGCTGTTTTAATTTTTATCGTGCAAGTCTGTAAATGAATTATGTTATGTACATTATGCAAAACGGCCAAAACAATTTCTTCTTTGTGTTCCTTAGTTTGTGTATCATTTCTCGAAACTGATATACTATCCTTTTTATCACTTACTCTATTTTTAACTATCGAACTGGTTTTAAACATATGGCTTCCGAATGCTTACCTTTGCAAATTTTACAAACTGTAGTGTGCCATTGCCAGCATTCTGAAATTTTGTGTTTAGCTGCAAGGCAAGGGGGAAAAAAAAAAAAAAACAATGCCTTTGCTTCTTCAAAATATCTCTCTTCTCATTAACTGTAAAGCATAAAAAAAATTCTGAGTCATGGTTTTGAGAAGAATAAATGCAGTTTCGATTTGATGCCGCCATAAATTCATGTGTGGTGACAGTTTGTTTATGTTTCGGCGTCGGTAGATATCTGTTAATACTTTTCGTTTTTGGTTTTGACTTGTGTGGAAAGGATAAGGAATTAATTTTTTCTCGCGATTCTATTTCTAATCAGAGAAAGTCTAGAAATTTGTTTAAATCATAGGTTGAAGGATTTCCAGTATTTGTATGATGAAATTCTAAAGTTTATCATTCGAGACAATTTTCATCAAAATTGGAATAAGCATGTTGGAATATGTTTCTGGTTTCACACTGAGTGCTAAAAGGCTTCTGATTTGAACGTTAATTGTATCATAAAGTTTTCGCTATTTTGCCACGTCATTTGAACTTTGAATGGGATTTAAATTTAAGAGATTAGAAATGCGTGTATTGATAATAAGGTCACTTTTGACCGAATCTATTTTTAAGAATGTCTATAGCAGAATCATAATTAGCCTCTGAGATTGAGAGACCTTCTATGGCTGATGCTGCGTTTCCACATAAATAAGTTTTCAAATAATTAAATTTTTCAATCTTCGAAAGCGTAACATTCTCATGAATAGTGACCTTGAATGAATTCCAAAAATTTATCCAATCGTTTTAGTCTCCGGCAAATTTGTGAATTAACAGTTTGGGTAATTTCACATTACCTTAAATCTGTGTTTTGGTTTCAACTTCCGTAGTTGAATTATTTAAATTCGTATTGACATTTTGAGTATTGTATTTCTTTAAATAACAGTTGATTTTAGACTTCGCTATTATTATTATATCGTTATATTCCATAGAAGTGTTAATATCTGACTGTAATTTTGATTCATCTTCAAATTTTGTACTTTTTTTATTTAAATCATGTAGTTCCGTTTCTATACTATTTAACAATTTCGAACAATTTTCTAACTTTTCTTATTTTTCTTCATATAAATACTCATCTACATTTTTAATAATTTGAGTTACAGAAGCATGTATATGTGTTTGATTCTTATTTAGTGTTTTCTGTTGCATTTTAATAAATTATTAAAGGAGACTTACCGTGAGCAGTCTTCGCTTACAAAGCAAACGTGTTTAGAAGGGAAAGCATTAAGTAAGCCAATAGATGGGCTTCTAACACCATCTCTTAGCAATATCAAAGAATATTCCTTAACATAATGAACCCTGGAGCATGCACTCATAGATTGGGGGGGGAAATTCGTGAGTAATTTATAAGCGGAACATTTGTCGGGTCAAGTACAAGTTAACGTTCTGGCTGCTTATTCCGTGATTTCCACGGGCAACTCAAATGTAGCAAATTCTGCTCATCCCGCGATTTCCGCGGGCATGTGTTTTTCTTCCTTTATTAAGGAGCGCATCCCGTTTTTTCCACGTTTAACCTCTGAAATAACTTAATAATCAGTATTAGACGTTTAAATTATACGTTTTGGCCAACAGATATCGTTAAGTTGTCCACTAAATTGCGGCATTTGAAGGCACATTGGTATTATCGCTCAAACTCCACGTTTTGCCGCCTTTTTTCTTTCAGAAATGGCTGCTAGAAAACATTCAGCAATTATCTTGATTATTTAATTAAATTATTGTATTATTAATTAGATTTATTGATTAGATTAATAATTAGAGTGATTATTAATTAGATTTATTGATTAGATTAATAATTAGAGTGATTATTAATTAGATTTATTGAATCTGGTGTAAAGACTGTGAAGTTGGACTTTGCCTTGAACCCTGTTTTGAATTCTATCATGCTAAACTGCATTTCTAAGATATTTTTTCCTCAGTGCTTTATATTTTCTTAAATTTTATACATTTTACTTTTTTATATTATGCAATAAATAGAAATTAACTGTAATTCGATTGAAAACTATTTAAAAAAAAAATTTTTTTAGTGAAAACATCTGAAACTGGTTTTTCTGGCAACTTAGTTTCTCATGATAAAAATCTATATAAAAAATATTTTCTAGAAAGGAAAACTGCATTTTTCAATTCTCCAATATATATGGATTTAAAATATTTAAAAAAAAAAAAAAAAATACACAATTTTTGAAGCGATTTTGGTCTAAAAATTGAGCAGTCGGAGGGTTAATTAATGTAATGGGTTGAGCTTGATGAACAAAATTAAATGCAAACCACAGAAACCAGTCTCTTGAGTGGTATGAAAGGAATTTTACTTTAAAAGCCATCTAAATTTTTTCAACTTAGCTGAGCCTTCATTTGAAAATAGTTATATTCTTTTATTATTACCTTTCAAAATGCAAGCAGCAGTTCGTGGCAGCTCTCTACAAAAATTTCCGTTTATTTGTTTATATTGTGTTTGATACTTTAAAGTAAACTACCAAAGAAATATTTTTGGTATTTTATTTCCCAAATGATTGGTTAATTTTTTAATTAACCAGTCCTTCTGATTGGTCAAGCTTCGTAATGTATGCATTTTTCTATTCTTAATGCCTAATTTTTGTGCATTTATCATAAAAAGATTATTATTCTGTTGTGTATTATGTTAACAAAATGTAAGACTAAATTAGGAAGTTTAGACGCATTTGCTTGCATTAGGAATTTAAAAGCAGTTATTAATCTTTCGTTTGATGAATATGTGTGCATTTTAATTCTTCATTTTGAAGACACTTAGATTTACTTACTTTTACTTTTCTGCAGGGAATCATTCTTGTATATGATATAACAAATAAATGGTCATTTGATGGCATCGATAGATGGTTGCAAGAGGTTGAAGAAGTAAGACATTGAATTTTGTTTCAAATTATTTGAATCACTTGTTTCTTATCTCTATAATATATGTTCTGCACCATGCTAAATGTGCTTTTTTGTGTCTGGCATTTTTTTTATCTTCTAGTATTTTCCTTCACACTATAAATGATTTTATAAAACACTTTCATCCATCATTGATTGTCTTGCAGCACACAGTCACTATTAAGAATCACTATCAGAAATCACACTCAAAATGGATCCCAAGATTGAATATACATTTTAGATAAATGTATCTCAATCAGTCAAATCAATCAATCTTTAGAATTTTCATGTTTTATTTATGAAAGGGTAATCGGAAAGTTATAATTTTATGATTTCAGAATGAATAGTGTTCTTTTTTGGGGGGGATGTTTTATTTTGTATGTTTATAATGTTATTGTTTGTATGTTCTACCGAGTAGTGACCCGAAATACACTCATACAAAGGTAGTTCTACTGAGCGCTGACCTGAAATACACTCATGTGTAAAGTTAAGAGAATTTGTGCTTTATGTCAAATTTCCGAATGCTCAATAGACATATTGTAATGAAATTTATTATGAATAAATATAATTTTATAACAGAAAAAGATATGTACCATTCAAAATCCATTTTATGTATGCATGATTATCAGTAAAACCCATAGTGCAGAGATGTCCAAAATCTGCATTGTGATATTGAACTGAAAATGAGTCTAATATCAAGTATAGTCCCTTCTCACAGCCAGACAAATTGCACAACATGACAGCATACTGGACAAGAGGCTGCTGAAGAGTCCTTGTGGCCGTCATCCCACTCCTGTAGCACGTGGTTTTCAACTCTGGGATGGTTCTTGAAGGGGCTGGCGAGATGAAATCGCCCTTCTAAGAAGAGCATCTTAGACGTATAGGGTTGAAGTCAGGAGATCTGGCTGGCCAATCCATTTGGCAAATATCCTCACTTTTCAGGTAATCATCAACTACCTGAGCCCTATGCAGGCAAGCATTATTATCGATTAACGAGTACCCTGAACCAACTATTTTCCTGAAAAATAGAGAATAGGACTTTTAAGATCTCTCTCTATACCTCATACCAGTCAGGAAGCCTTTAATGAACACATTCAGGGGTGTGTGGCCATCCAACATAATGTCTGCTCAAACCACTACACCTCTACTATGATAATGATCCTATTCCCTGCTGAGGGAGGGATGGTATTATGTTGTAGACTCTCTTCAGGTAAAGATGTGCCGGGAATCTCAACTCGTATGTGAATGGCATGGTGCTCCACTGAAGTCTCATTCAAGTTGTATGTTGTCTGCACCATGCTAAACGTGCTTTTTTGTGTGTGGCAGTGAGCAGGATGCAAGGAGTGGGTCTTCTGGTATACAGCCCTATCTCGTGGAGCCTTCAGGCTATTGTAGACAATGAAACTCAACTTCCAGTAGCAGTGTACAGCTCATGTGAGATCTGTGAAGCTGCAACAGTCCTGTGTTGCTTCACTGAAAGTGTCAAATAACTATTCTCATTCTTTGTTGTGGATCTTGTTCAGGTCTTCCCGATATGGTTTTAATGTGCTGAACTTTTCTTACAAATTGCAGAAGACACTACCTTACATTGAGCTCTGTAGACACCTGCACTTGTTGATTGGCCTGCCTCCAATATGCTAACAATTTCCCATCTCATTCTGTTGTCCATATTTTTGTGGTTATTCATTACATTTTATTAGATACTTTACTAAAATTTACCCAACTTCTGTGAGAAACATGGTGAATGTTGTAAATAACTACAAGCACGCTAATTGCTAGAAACCTCTTGTGCACTATATCTCCTCCTCAATCACAGCTCCGCATCATGTATGCATATGTATTTGAATAATGCATAATTAGTAATGTTGTTTCAATACTTTTAATAAAAATAGACACAGTTTGTAAATTCTTCATTTTGCACACAAGTGTATATTAAAACAAATTATTACTCTTGACACTGCATCATTGCATCTTTTTATGTCTGGCATTTTTTTTATCTTCTGGTATTTTCCTTCACATATAAATGATTTTATAAAACACTTTCATCCATCATTGATTGTCTTGCAGCACACAGTCACTATTAAGAATCTCTGGCATATATTATAAGGTATTTCTCCCACTTTCCTAGCGTCCTTCGTGGTGTAGTGGTTCTGCACACTGGGCCGGTATTCCATCCGTGGTTCAATTCCCGGCAAAGGCGGTTGCATATTTTTCATCTTTTCTGCTTCCAATTAATCTAATGACTCTACAAGTGGTGCCCGAACTAAAAGGGTTGTGGATGATGATTCACCGCACCCAGGATTTGGCGACTAGGTCCTCTAAAAACCCTAGTCACCTTTTAAAAAAGGGGAGTATATAAAGTATTTCTCCCACTTGCCTAGCGTGCATTCGTGGTGTAACAGTAGCACGCTGAGCCGGTATTCCAAAGGTCCGTGTTTTGATTCCCGGTGAAGGCGGTTGCATATTTTTCATCTTTTCTGCTTCCAATTAACCTAATGACTCTCTACAAGTGGCGCCCGAACTAAAAGGGTTGTGGATGATGATTGTCCACACCCAGGATTTGGCGACTAGGTCCCCTAAAACCCTAGTAGCCCTTTAAAAAGGGGAGTATATAAGGTATTTCTCCCACTTTCCTAGCGTCCTTCGTCTAGTGTAGTGGTTCTGCACGCTGGGCTGGTATTCCAGAGGTCCGTGGTTCAATTCCCGGCGAAGTCGATTGCTAATTTTTCATCTTGCCTGCTTCCAATTAACCTAATGACTCTACAATATCAAAGTATTTTTTCATAAATGTGTGCTTTGCATTAAAATGTGATGGAGAAAAATGCAGATTCTTCTGATATCCTGGGCAGAATTTAAAGAATTTTACGTGCTCCTCTAAATAATTATCTGGAGCTCAAAGGTAAAAAGTAATTGTAATTTTTCAGAGGAATATGTTTAATACTGATTTTTAATGTCTAGATTGCTTCATTGGAATTTTCACCTAGAGGTTCAGCTCCAGATTAGTCTCTTTTGAGTGCTCAGTGTATGATAAACTATTGTTACTATGAAAATGATGACTTTTCATAGTATAAGAATATAATTAGAAGAATTTTACTTGTACAGTCCTGTTTTATGTACCTCTGAAAATATGCACATCACACTTTGTGAACTGCTGAGGGAGTTAATGGGGAAAATAAAGGAATTGTATTCTCTGTTTCTCAGTTTAAGAATATGAATTAATATTTTTGATATCAATAAACATTAATCTGACACCACAAAATATGGAATAACTGCATGTTATAATGTTGTCACACCCTACATTGCTTACGGTTACTACTTTAAAATGAGAAATGGAAGACATGAATAATTATCTAACTCTTATCATTCAATTATTTTTAATACGGACTCTTTACATTAATGATTTTCTATATTTTATACTCAATCTTAAGTTTCATCATTTGATTAAATATATAAATTCTGCTTTTTGTTGAATTGCATATCTGCTTTTAATTAATGTATTACATTAGACTGAATGTGAGCTATTAGTGCTATATGCAAATTATAGTAATCTTCAGAATTAGAATCTGAATTTTTAAACAACCTTCATTCTTTTTTTAGCTTGCACCAGGTATTCCAAAGATTTTAATTGGCAACCGACTTCATTTAGCATTTAAAAGACAAGTGAGTGAAGGAACTGCAGAATCATATGCACGGAAACATAGTATGGTATTCTTTGAAGTCAGCCCTCTTTGTAATTATAACATCACTGAATCATTTGTTGAATTATCACGCATGGCCTTGCTCAGAAATGGCATGGAAAGGTTGTGGCGTAGTAATCGAGGTATGGTTTGTTTTTTCTTTTTATAATAAATATGCATATTTATTTTAATTACTTTGTAATAGATGAAAGAACAATTATTGTAAAATGTGAAAAATTCTAATATATTAATAATATTTCTAGAGGACTAAAATGCAAAAATTTAACAAATGTTACTTTGAGTGAAGAAATTACATAGTTAATATAATGACATGTTCAAATAACTGATTTACAAATTACATGCCAGACACGATGAGAAGCTAAAACTATATTTTAATAACATAAAAATTAGATTTTTCTAATATAAAAATATTAGTAAGTTTTAAATAAGTAAGAAATTTAAAGCAAGTTTTAAAGTTTCTTGCATTTGAGTTAGGTTCTGAGTTAGAATTTTTTATTACCTAAATTCTATTTTTTAGATTGTAAATATTAAATTATTACTCTAAATAGTGTTAGTATTGTGTTGCAAATTTTTGCAAGGAAATAACAATATTAAATAAATTTTTGTTATAAGAATTGATAAATTTATTTATTAAAAGTAATCATATAATTCTAATAAAATGAAATATGCATATATATATTATATGTGGATATTTGTCTTCGGCAAGTCACAGCTCATCTTGAAACAAAACAAATTTTAATGAAACATTAATACATATGCAGTCAAAAGTCGTTAATCTGGACTCGTCGGGACTTCTGCAATTCCGAATTATCGATTTTTCCGGATTATAGATCATCACTTTAAATCTCGTAAGATGGCATGCAGAAATTATAAAATTAAAAATATGAAACCGTAATTTATGAAATAAAGAACAATTATGATCTGAAGGGTATCAAAATTTACAAAAAGAAAAAGCTTAATATTTATTTGTTTACTTTATTAAACATTTTTTTCAATGTAAGTTGCTTCGTTTTATGTGATAATACTTTCTCTTTAATTCTATTAAACAGACATAATTTCTTGTTTAGTTACAAAGTTCCGCTGTTCAAATCCTATAATTGCTGTGTCGAGAATATGGACTAATTTGTCAATCGAAATTTGTTTGTTTTCAATAACCTTTGTGTCATTTTCTTCACTATCGGAAGCGAATTATAATGATGAGGAACTTGATTTAAATCATATCAAAGACGGAGTACATCAAGATGAAATACTACATTTAGTAAGGAATTATAAGCCAAATAAAATAAAAACATCTGCCTTGAAGATAAGGATAGTGCTGACAGATCAACTTCCAATTCATTGCGCGCTGCGGCGTTTCCCCCCCTCTCCGCCACAGAGCAGCATGAAATTGATAAATAGATTTCGGAATGGTTAGAAAAACAAAGGATATGCCTTTATCCATTTTTTGCAGCAATTCCACTTTTTGTTTAATGGACTTCGAAACATACTTTCGCTTTGTAGATCCTTTACATATTAGTAAATATATATCGGAAATTCTGTTTGACATAATCGAAAGTTTAAGCGTACTTTTATAAAATTGCTCTAACAGTCTGCAAAAATAATAAGCCGGATCCAATTCGAAGATTAAGGAACAACGCAGTCTGCAATATTAATTGAATTAGATAATTTTAGCTTAGCTTATACCGTCCGTTATACATTAAACGAGCATGTGTAGACGTATTATGCGCATGCGTACACGCATATTCGCAGCCGTTAAGGTCTTATGCGTATGCGTCACTTTGACGCATGCGCAGAAAGTTTGTAGCTTTGAGGTCCAGATTATGGGTGTCCGAATTAACGACTTTTGACTGTACAACTTCTTAATAAGACATTGTTCATCTTAATACATGTACAATATCCTTCATCTTAATACATATATAGAGTTGCCAACTCTTCCGATTTAGGCAGGAGACTCCCGATTTTCAACTACTCTCCCGCCAACCCGATTTACAATATATTTCTCTCGACTTTTTCTTATTCTTAAAATTTCTCACGATTTTTATGGAACTTGGATTAATATTTCATTATATGAACAAAAAGAAAAGTGATTTTGGACGTCTGAAAGCAATTGAATTTTATCTAGAACATATCTAAAACAAACAAAAATCTATATCTAAAACAAAACCTTGTGAATCAGATGAGCATTTCTGCTTTGTGAGTGAGAGCATACGTATCCAGAAACGTCGTTCTCCAGTTCTCCAATGGGCATCGAGCTCCACTGCGTGTCATCTGGCATATATCGACTAATGAGCACAAAGCAAGCTCAAAGCTGTTAGTTGTATGTTCTTTAGTTATTTCGTTCATCTTGTCCTGAGTTGTGTGAGTACACGTGCCTTCGGAAAATAGTTTTAGAAATTATCATCTTTTGTTATGTCTGTGAGAAACGTGAAATACTCGTGTACGTTTCAAAAATCGTATATAGTTTACTTTCCTTCCATTATTTCCTCAAGGAAATGTAATAAGTTTGCGATGTGTACCATCTGTCGTTGCGATTTTTCGATTTCGCATGGTGGAAGGGCGGATGTTCTCAAACATGTGCGTATACAAAAACACAAAGACAACATGAGTTGTTTTGAAAAACAAAAAATTAAATTTTTCTTCGGAAACAAAGGACCAAAAAGTTATTATTGCAGAATGTCTGTTCTCTGCCTTTTTACTGGAGCACAACCTGCCACTGAATGCATCAGATCACGCTGCAACTTTATTTTGAAAAATGTTTCCCGATAGTGAAATCGCTAAGAAATACTCAAGTGCAAGGACCAAAACAGGTGCAATTGTTAAAGAAATGGGTTTGAAAAATAAATCTTTAGTTATTGATTGCATTAAAACAGCTCCGTCCTGTTTCTTTACGAATGGAAGCAATAATACCAATTCAAAACTGTACCCAATTGTTGTTTCTTTTTTTAATTCAGAGTCTTCAGAAATTGAGTGAAGTTTACTTTCTGTCCCCTTTTTAGAAGGACATTCGACAGGCTTTAATATAGCACAGCTAATTATTAAAACTTTAAAAGAAAATGCAGTCCCACTGGATAATTTGCTTAACACTTGGTGCCGATAATCAGTGGCGTAGCTAGGGTGGGGCAAGGGGGGACATCTGTCCCCGGGCGCAGCGTCCAAGGGGCACTAAATTCATGCTACGAAATTTTTTAAAGAAACGTTTTATATTCTTGGCACACAGAAAGGGGCGCAAATTCAATTGTCCCCGGGCGCTGGAAACTCTAGCTGCGACCCTGCCGATAATGCACCAGTAATAATAGGCTTGAAGACTGTTGTTGCAAGCATCTTAAGAAAGGAAAATTCAGATTTGCAGATTATGAGGTGCACCTGTCACCTCTTAAATTTAGCAGCTGAAAACGGGGCAGCTTCTTTACCTATAAATGTGGATAAACGCATTGTTGATATTTATTATTATCTTGAAAGGAGTTCTAAAAGGAAGGAAAAATTGAAACAGTTCTAACAGCTGCATAACTAATATTAGTGATGACGCATTAGAAAAACTTTTATTAACGAAAGCAGGCCTACGTGGCAATTGCTATGAACAAAATTAGGAAGTTTCTTTCTTAACAAAAGCAAAATCTGCCACTGTTCATAACATTTGTACGAAAACTGATTAAAGTGTTTTTTTTTTTTTCTTTTAAACGATGCAAGTAATAAAAATGTTTTTTATGTGTAAGGTATTTTTGTGTTGCTTGCATTTAAGAATTAGTAACTATTTAAAGTTAATTTGTTATTAAAAACTATATTTTTATCATTTAAAAAGTCTTTTTAACATTATGAAAAATCTCCTGTTTCTTAAAAAAGTCTCCTGATTTTTGAGTGTCATAGGTTGGTAAGTATGCATATACAACAACATCGTTCATCTTGCTTAAAAAGAAAAAGTGGTTACCATTCCATCATTTCACCCCTGCCATAGTAAACAGTAAAATTAGCGCATAAGGAAAATGCTAGACTATGGTGTTAAATCTCACATTCGACCTTTGTGCTTTATGTCAACCTCTATGATATTATTCTATTCATGACATCATCAGTCATCTTACGTCATCATTTTTTTGACAAAAGAAACCATCACAAGATGAACTTAATGCATTTGAAACTGTAAGTACATCATTTAAAGAAAAAAAATTCAGCATACTCTATTTATTTGTTTAAAAATGTCATCATTATCTAGTTTAAATGTAAAACCAGTAAAATCCCTTAGTGGGTTTTTTGGTTCTGATGGTCACCTTAGTAATGAAATATAAATTTATGATGTAACTTAATATTGTTTACTTTTCAACATTTCAAAGCAACTTCTATTTCTTTTATATTCACAAATTTTATGTTGTACTATGTAACAAAATTTGAAATTTTAATGTTCACTTACTCGCATCAGAAATGTATATCATTTACTCCCACATTTGAATATCTCAATACATAAGCATAACAAGCAATGAAGTATGAAAGTGCCATTCTTAAGCAATTATTTGTTTAATCCCGCATCTGACTTTTTTTTTTTTTTTTTTTTTTTTTTGTGTGTGTGTGTGTGTGTGTGTGTGTGTGTTTTGGGCAAGTTACAACTTATCTTTGAAACAAAACATATTTAATGAAACAATAATACAACTTCTTATCTTTCATATCACTACATATATAACATTGTTCATCTTAATACATGTACAACATTGCTCATCTTAATACATGTATAACATAAGAAATTGTCTTTACTTAAAAATTAGTATTTTTTTGGGGGGGGGCGGGTATAAACTTCCTTATGAAGCCTTTCGGTCTAACGTTAAATATTTTGATATTTTGCTTGTGTTACATCAAGAAAGCTCCTACCTTACACTGAGGCTATCTCTACAAGAACTCAAGAATTTAATTATCTTACCTGGCCTCAAGAACTGACCATGATGCCTACCACATTATTTTCACAGGTCTAAAGTATAAAGCTAGCCCATGACTAATAAAAGTAAAAGCATTCTCACATTTATATAAATGACTGGGAAAACCCTTTTAAATGGTACTATGGTCATGGTTTCGATGATTGTGTTCTTCTCTAGGATGGTAACCTATTCTGCATGGTTTCTTTCATATTTTGTCGGATATGTTTCGGCGCTGCAGAACAAAATAAATCTTTGTAGAGTTTGCCTGTATTACCTCTACAGATGATGTTTCAAACATTAAAGTAGTGAAAAAAATTTAAATTGCATCATCCGGTAATGCAGCACAATATTTGAATGGCTAATAATCCCTTTTTTAGTCTTAATTTCTTCTGTGTGCATGGAGCTCACTCACATCTGGAAAGCTCGAAAGAATATTATAAAAGGCTTAGAGCTACAACAACTTGTCCATCTAATGTAAGATTACATTTTAGTTAATTACCCAACAGAGATTACTATATAATTTACAAGCATCTATGACCGGGAACAAGGATTTCGCAGGCACATTATCGAGTAGCAGTCTGCATATCAATGAGTAATGCTGATCTCGCTTAATAAAGTGGTTAGCATTTTATCATTTCCTGCATGCTGTAAACAGTTTAGTTAGATAGCTCGTGAGAAAAATGTTAGACTGTGGAGTTAGAATCACACACACACCCACATATATGTAATAACATAATCATACTTCTTCACTTTCTTCATATTATTTTTCATTAATTTTTCTGAATTTATTCTATTTTGAGCATTTGGGAATTTGTACTTAAATTGCATATATATAATATTTTGATTATATATATATATATAATCAAAAAATATATATACATACACAGAGACATGCATAATATATTGAAAATGTTGTATTACAAAAAAAGTAATTCTAGTCTAGTGATAGTAACCCAAAACTATTTGAAAAGCGCCAAAATGTGAAACATCATTATTTAAGTATATTTTATAGGTAATTTTAGTAAAGAGGAATTATGTATTTTTATTTTGTGTATTATTATATGTTCCATTAATATAATTTTATTTAATTCTTAGTTTTATCTCTCCAAGAACTGTGTTGTCGTGCTATTGTGGCCAGGACTACAGTGTATAGCATTGAGCAGCTTCCCCTCCCGATCTCATTGAAATCATGCCTGAAGTCATATTCTATGACTACATATAAATCTCGCCCTCATGTGCCGACCACGAGAGATAAGTCATTAAAGAAAAGTAAACAGATTCATCATCCTTGTGATTCCTTAACATCTCAATGTCGGAAAAGCTGCTCTATATCCTAGCCAATTACATGGTTGCTCATTTATTTCATAATCATGTTGCCAATCTTTTTTAGACTTTATCAAAGCATATCTTCTTCCAAGGGAATTCATTAAAAATGTGATTTGTAATTTAGTCCACATTACTGCAGTGTTTTTTATTCTGCAGTGAGAAACTATTAAATGTTTGTAAGTAGAAGCTGCCATGATGTTTAACTTGTATAAAAGCTATAGTGTGTTGTATTCTGTGTGATGTCACAATGTATAGTAATGATATTTTACAGTAAAATTTAAGAAATGTTTGTTATATGTTTTATTGTTCACATATTCATCTCAAAACTGGAAATATTTGTTTGAAATGTACAATAAAGTTGCATATTTTTGTACTTTTCTTGATAGAAGTATAAAACATTTTATTTAAAGTAGCAAGAAATTTGTTCCTGTTTCTTTACAGGCTACTATTTGAAAATTGTTATGTTTAATTAATAATATTAAACCATTATTATAACCAAAATTATTCAAATTGTTGAAATCAAATTTCAATTAGTAAGCACTTTATTTGAGCCAACTAACTCCCATTCCTTTAGATTGTAAGGGGTGGGTTTTCAAAACTCTTTTTACTTCCTTGAACGAAGTAAAAAGGAAGTATTGTAATCTCGAAAAGTTTCAGGCATCATATTTCAACGAAAATATCCATTTTGATCCCTATCGAATGCAATTTAACGATGTTTTTGCGTGACATCTGTACTTAAGGACAGAATAAAAGACTCTTTTCCTCCAAAAAAAATTATAAAACTGCTTTAATGAATTCTGAGGAGAATTTTTCGTGGCGTCTGTATGTATCTCGCATAATTCAAAAACAAGTAGCCTCAGAACGTTGAAATTTTGTATATAGGACTGCTATAACATGTAGATGTGCACCTCGTATTTTGGTTGCAATCGGCCGAACCAAATGTATATAAATATATTTATATATGTATCCACTCTGTTACCTAGCTCAGTGATTTCAGTTTCTTTACTCTTATATGTTTGTAAATTGTACATTTTTTACTTTAATGATTGAATTATGTTGTTTTTATCTTCCGGTTAAGGTTTTTATGCCTTTAGTAAATCTGTATGCAATATTTTTAGAATTATCAACAATTTTAAAGTTGTTTAAGTGCCACTAAGCCTAATAATTTTTTTGATGGCGGCCATTGCTTGTTTACATTTGAAACAGCACGATAGTGGATTTGCCAATCTAGAGAAACTTAGCTTCACAACAACAAAGATAACGCCTTCATTTATTATTGTGAAGTAAATCATGCTTAATCCTTTCTGGAATTTTTTTGAGGAAATAAGTGTTTAAGATTTACCTCGTAATTTTTAATACAGATATTCTGAGTTTTTATATATTTTTGCCTTATTGCAAAAATATATAAAACTGTAAGAACTGAATTCATTGAATGAAGAAAGAACTGAATTCATGAAGAAAGAACTGAAGTGAGAACTAAATTCATTGAATGAGAAATACTCAATCGTCTGTGAAAAACTGTTTCTTTTTTGTTTTGTTTGCTTAATTTCTTTTATACATTGTTCTAGATTTATTATAGTATTTGAATATAACATTTGGCAACGATTAGATAATTCTTTAAATGATATAAATTTTGTGCATTCCAAGTTATAATATGAACGAAATATAATACTGTTAAGTGAAGCTAGCGAAAGAGTGTCGCTATGGTAAACAAATAAAGTGAATTTTAAAGAATGCATGTATTCTATTGTGGTTCGGCAAAGTAGATTTAATTCAATCCAATAAGTTTAAATGAAATGCAAGAAAAAATACGTATAATTTAATATTCCATACAAGGAAGTCATGACACATCAGATTTTGTAATATTTAACTATTACTCTAGACCAGCAGTTTTCAACCTTTTGACTAACCCATACCATGTAAACAAAAATTGAAAAACTTAGGTACCGCCACTACAAAATACTACTGCCACGACCACTCTTAAACAAAGCTCTGTTCGCATAAATTTACGAGTGTTGGAGAAAAAATCAGGGTGTTGGGGTTTTAATTTTGGAATTTAATAGTTAAAAATACTTTGCTTCTTTGTGTACCACCTATTTTTCTCTTGCATACCACCAGTTGAGAACCCCTGCTCTTTTGTAGCACAATATTGGACACAGAAAAATACAGCATACAATTAATCTGATGTTGATTTTTTATCTCTGATGTTGATTTCTAGCATACTAAGAGTCATAAAAAAACAAATACCTTGAGTTAATTGAGTAAAAAAACTTACATACATAAAAGAAAGAAAAATTATCAGTAGTTCTTGGTAGAAAAATATCATACGATTGTCTCTCACACTCATTCTGTCGTCATGGAGCTTCATCCCATACGTGATGGAGGAACAGAATGTGCATACCAGATGCACCTTGCTCCCTCATGTAATTGAGCATTCCTTCAGCGGCCTTCAGTCCTTCACTATGGGTCATCATTTTAACTTTTCAGTTGTCTTCAGTCTCTTTGCTTTCTGATTCATCTTCATTTTTATCCACATTGTCTTTCACCCAATGCAACTGTTTCTGCGTGTCCTAAAATTTCACAATTTTTATCTTGTTCCACCCATTCTTCAACATCACCATCAGAGACTTCTTCGCAGTCTGGAATTTTCTTAATCAACTATTTCACAGTTTTCTGTCTCCTCTGCTTTCGTAAAATTAGTTTTCTGAATGGTCCAACAACTGTTGGAACAAATGGGACTTATCTGCTCGATTTCACTCCAAGAAATGAGCTATCCATACAACAACATCCAACCTACCTATTTTCTTCAGTTTCTCGATCATATCACATCCATCCTCCACGGCTAGGCCAAGAGATGAAATAAGTCTGTATTTTTTCTTCAGTGCCTCCAAAATGCCCTGGTCCATTGGCAGACACACTGAAGTTACGTTAGGAGGGAGAAACATGCCTATTATATCTTCATCTCATAACTGTTCTGCATCATGATTAGATGAGACATTGTCTAGAATGAGAATCACCTTCTAAGTAGATTTTTTTATTTTAAAAACATTTCTGCTGATGAAACCAGTCATTAAATATTGCTCCATTCAATTCATGCATTTGACTGACTCTGGTACCAAACAAGAAGATCATATTTGGTTTCGGTCTCATTAGTGTACTTTTTTATGTTTTTAAACACCCAGGGATTTTGTTATTCGCCTCTAAGTGTTAGTTTAAGTTAGAGCTTATGGCTGCCTCTTGCATTGCTGCATGGCAAGATTGTGACTCTTTCCTTGCTTCTTTTGTAGCCAGATGCTGATTTTTCCCTGGATGCCAGCATTTTTGAAGGTAGTATTCGAAAATTCAGACTGGTCTCATCGCAATTATAAATTTTATCTCCATACATTCCCTCCTTTTCTATTAGTTTGTGGAAATTATCCTTGAATATTGCTGCATTTTCAATGTTTGTAGATAACTTTTCCTCGCAAACGTTTAATTGCCTGATGCTGTACCACTTTTCCCATCTGTCAAGCTAAGCATCACTAGCAGAATATCCAGGCTCTTCTTTAAATTAATCATAAAATTGTAAGGCTTTCTATTGTAAAATTGGTCCTGAAATGGGTGTTCCCCATTTGCTTTGCTTCCTGATCAACAAATAAAGTGCCTTGCTCATGTTTTCGTATTCACCACCTTTCAGACTTTTTCTTTCCTTTAAATTACATGCTCTTTTCACACACCAAGACTCTTATTTCGGACCCTTTCTTTTTCCACCCTATCAAAGTAGTCCGTCTAGCACCTAAATCCATGGTAGTTTTGTTTACACTTTTCTCTGTGTCCAGTGTTCTTAAGGCATCTAGTTTCATTTTCCTTGTCACGTTAGTTTGTTTTTGCTTTTCGAATGACATTTCCACTTCACAGATTTTCAAAAAAGTTCCCAAAAATATGTAAGCACTCATATGCCTGGATGTGAACTGAGGAACAATACCCGCAATGAACTGGTGTGAGTTTAGTTTGCAATAAGATGCAGTCACAAAACTTCAGACAAGTCTTGTAACGTTTCACAGTAATGAAAAGGAATGTGAGCCAGCGTCAGTTGCTGCCTGACTTGCTTTGTGTCCTCGAATGAAGCAAAAAGAACTGCAAAATATTACAACATATCTTGAAATTTGTTAAGCAGTTCCGAGAATTAATGGCACAATGCGAAAATGGCAAAAAATGCAGAAAGAACACTCAGATCTTTGATCAGAACAAGAAAGACATATGCATAAATAATTATTTGTACTATATGTAATATTCACTCTGTTTGGCCTAGAGATAGCTCTAAAAAGTTTGTAAAACGTTGTTGAGTTTGTGGGACTCTATAATGCGCAATAGGAATTGTTCTGTATTTAAGAAAAGTAAAGGAAAGTTAAAATTTCTTAATAAACAAATTCATATTAAAATTATAACACAAAGCTTGTCGTATAATTTTTAACTCAAAATTGTATGATAAACTCTTTAGAAAAATATTTTCTTGCGTGCAAACTTTTTTTTAACCCTTTGAATAACCTCTTTATTTTATCTAGCAGAGCACTACTGTTATATAAAATATACTGGAAGTTTATCAGTTTTTTAACATTGTACAGATCGCTAATTTTTTTACTCCAAAAGTTGTAGTCTTTAGTTTTCTTTTAACTCTAAATGTTATCGTTACTCTGTGAATACTGAATATTATGCAGTTATCAAGTTAATGCATCCCTTTCAAAATTTCTCATGTTTGGAGATTCATTAAATTGTTTAAAGGGAGGGATACTTCAAAATCAGCAAATATGTGACATACAGATGCTGAACCTTATATATTTACTGCATTTTAATCAAAACTGATAATTTCATTCATATATATCATTTTAAAAAGTGGTATATAAATTATGTAACACCCATGCTGAGGATACTCACCAATAAATAGCAGCACAGGTCTTGTTTGCTCTGCTCTGGGGGGGGGTGAAAGTATTTATTTAAATTACAGTTGTGATGTAATATGATACAGTTGCGCATGATTAAATATTATGTACATGAGGGAATAGGAAGTTTACTGACCAAGTTCTAAGAATGAATAAAAGTATTTCAGTTTCTTCCTATCCTTTGCTTACTCTAGTCAAGTTTCTTATTCATCTCTGTTTTAGTAAAAATTTTAATTTAATCACGTCACCCTTTTCTTCGTTGATTTCAAAATTGTTGTCTGACATCAAAATGTCACACACTTTGTAGGCACCTTAAATCATTAGCCCTAAGAGACACCCCAGTATGCAGCAAAAACGAAAAGATGTGATTGATGATTAATTTAGTCGTGCTTTCTCCACAGCAGGGTTGTAATAAAGTTGCAGAGGAAAGCTCACTTACAAGCACAGAAAATAG